TCTAGTTTTGCCTCACTTAAATATAATTAATAAATTCCATTTTAATGACTACAACATTGAAAATGTTTCTGGATTCTTTCCTGAATTACCCTCATCTTGACATAGTAAAAATAGAAAACTTTCCCTACAGCTCAAAATTTATCATTTAGCTTTTCAAATAATGAAAGCAGAATTCACTACAACAGAACTAAACTTTTCTTTAGTCACTTCAAAAAAAAATAATAATAATAATAATAAGCTTTTAAGGAGCCATATGTTTTTAATGAGGCTAAAAACAAATATAAGACATTGACAAAATATGCCAGAAAACTTAAAAAAGATCTTTTTAAAAACTATGAATTTTTAAAAATCCAAATTATGATTAATACTTACCTTTTTTTATTTTGGTAGAGCAGAGTTTCACTTTATCACCCTCAGTAGAGTGCATTACACAGCTCATGGCAACCTCCAACTCCCAGGCTTAGGCAATTCTCTTGCCTCCGCCTCCCGAGTACCTAGGACTACAGGTGCCTGCCACAACACCCAGCTATTTTTTTGTTGCAGTTTGGCTGGGGCCGCGTTCGAACCCGCCACTCTCCATATAGGTGGCCAGCACCCTACCCACTGGGCCATAGGCGCCACTCAATACTTACCATTTTTATTTGCTGGTGAAAAAAAGTTGAAGACAGGTGAAAATATAGTTCCCAACAATGTAGTTCTTGGTGGACTGCCAGTGGAAGGATTATCTTCTAATTTTCCATTTTGTTTGACGTGTTGATTTGTCATTTCATAACTACCAGCTTCTAGCAAAGAAACAAGAAAAAAGTCATGATCTGGAAAACACTGACTTTTAGAAATGTGTTTTAAATCACTCCGTACAAAACTAATCTGCCCCTCCCTCAAAATATTTTATGAAAACTAACATTGATGTTCAGGAGAGCTTCCTGAAGAAATTCTGACATAAATTTCTTGTAAATAAAATGGTCTTTATACGTAAGTATACTTATGCTATACAAATGCTAACACATATTCAATTTTCTCAAAGGGGATTTACATCAAGAACTATATAGACTAGAAGGTTTCAAATGAACCTACTATAACAGGAAATGAAAATTCTTTAGAAGCAAACAGTATCAGTTACCTGTTGTCTAAAACATAAATGCAAGATTCTGTTTACATTTTGAAATGCTGTCTACTTTAAAAAACCTTCTCTCACATCTATTTCTAATGAATGACAGATAAATGTATAGAGGCAACATATCTCTACTGAAACAGAAGACTGTATACATTATTGTCAAGAATTGGTAACGTATATTTAGGCACTGGTTATGAAGAATAACCAATTGTTTTTAAGTTTTTTATTTTTTAGTGTGCGTGTTTTTAAGGTTTTTTGCAAATAAAAATTTTCCACAAATTTTTAGAAAAAAAAAAATCAATCAAATGTTTTGTTTACTAACCCTTTGACCCTATCCAACTTTAGCTGGTATCAACCACAATTCTTTCCTTCTTTGCTTTAACTCTGTTAACTTGTTTCTTTCTCTCTTCTCTCCCCTTTGTCAATCTAAGTTCCCTATTTAAGTCTCCTTTCTCTCCCCCATCAGTTACTTCTAATAAAAAAGATATATTACTGCACTGGCCAAGGAAAAGAGGAGGAACTGTTATTGCTGTTGAGTTTAAGACAATATTGGTTAAAAGAGCACTCCATGCCTTTTGTCACTTTTAGATTTCTTTTCTTATCCTTAATGTTTTGCTCCTTTTTGACTTTGAGGAGCTTCTGAGCTGCACACTTGACAATTGGGCCAGACAACTCTTTGTTGCACAGGACTGTCCTGTATATTGCAGGATGTTTAGCCAGCATCTTTATCATTTAACTGCTAGATAAATACCAGTAGCAGCTTCTCCACAGGTTATAACAACCAAAAAGGTCTCCAGATATTGGTTAAGCATACCTTGAGGAGCAAAACCACCGACAACTGAGAAATTCTGGCCTAAGGGATTCAAGTCCCCTCTGAGCTCTCAAATAATATAATCAAAATAATTTTTTTGCACATATTTCAATTAAATTATGTCACAAGTATTACTGCTTTAAGAAATGAGTTTATTAGAAGCCAAAAATGGTGATCTGTATATATATCTGTATCTAGTTACTCTATTTGAATTCATCACAGTAAATTTTTTTTTTTAGGAAGATAAATTTTCATTTCACTGCATGGTACTTATATTTAATACAAAGATTACAAAAATAAGGTATAAATTGTTTAGATTTCTAAAAAGAAATAAAAAGTGCAATTTCTGCTCACAACTAAATAAAAATATCTAAATATTAACAAACCTCCATTTACTTGACTTTTCCGTCTTACTCGAGATATCTGTTTGTTAGGCTTTTCTCCTGCTCTTGGTGTTGATGTGATCAAATTATTATCTATATCACGTTCAATTCTACTCCGTTTTGAAGGATTTTCTCTCTCTTCCTTAAGATATAAGAGGAAAAAACATGCACTGAGCACATTCTGCTTTATGGGTTACACTTTTAAATTGATAAAATATAGTATACATACATTCCTCTGTTTTTCATATTCAAGAAAATGAAAACCAACTGTAATCACAGATTATACCAAAAAGTGTTAGAAAACCCAAGAAAATGTTGACAGTTTTGTAGGAATACTAATGCAACAGCATTCTTTGCAATATACAAATACATACAATTACAATAGCCCCACAATTCAGATCATTTCCCCAGGGTCCATTAAATTTTCCATGCTATCAAAGCACTGAATTGTGTAATTTTAGCAATTCTTATAGAATCAAAGATAATCTCCTTAAGCAACTCAGGGCAGGAGAAAGAGCTCCACTGAACTAGCTGGCATGTCACCTATTACCAAAAAAAGGCCTTCCATTGCTATACCCCTCACTGCCAACCACAAATATTTAAATGCCCAAACTAATACCATGTAGTCAATTTAACAAACTCCTGAGACTGCCTTGTATGAGGCAAGTCCACATGACCACTTTATACTACTCCTACAGCACTATTTACTAAAATAGTATACTTCCAAGCATTAGCCTGATTTGTTTTTCTACACTTATATATATGTATTTTTTCTCATTCATAAAATTTTTCTAGAGTCATGTACCACAAGTAATTTTCTTACATTACTGTAATATTGCCCTATAATTCTTTGCTGTTTTAATCTTGATAAAAATTAGATTTCCAGATCTATATACAATTTTTTTTTTGAGACAGAGCCTCAAGCTTTCCCCCTGGATAGAGTGCCATGGCATCACAGCTCACAGCAACCTCCAACTCCTGGGCTCAAGCGAGTCTCCTGCCTCTGCCTACCAAGTAGCT